TCTCCATGATAATCACCGGTCTTGGAATGCGATTTGAACATCAATAAAGCATTAGGTACAAAGCCATTGCGACTGCCAGCGTTACAATAAGAGGTCCTTTACCGATGTTTTGCATAGCCCCGCGTTCTGTATCAGACTGCCAGCATTTTTCTGTCACGTGATTTTATTCACGTAGGTTTCATCTAGGAAAATTATTGACTTACCCTCTCGGCGGTATTTTTTAATGTCTCTGATGTAATGCCACCGCACTCGCATTATGTCGTGACGTTCAATTAATAGTTTCCTCTTTGACTGGCATGTTAAATATTTGAAACCAAGCCTACGTATTGTCCGTGTCAAGTATTCACGTGAGCAATGCAGTATATTGTCTTGTTTTCAATGCCGCATTCAACTTTTTGAACGACCGGATTCATTTTTTGACAGCATACCATTGTGTAATTTTTCTTCGTATGACACCTTCCGTAAAATTGTCGATTTCAATCCTTTTTTAAGGAAAACGGTTTTTCCGTGGTGATTTGAAAGTCGCTGTGCTGCCTTGTGCTTCCATGATTCTAGCTTCTTTTATAATTTTTTTAACGCTGTTTTCAGACAAACCTGTGGCTTCAGCAACAGTTTCTGCTAAATTAATGTCGTTTGCGTATTCGGCCGATGTTCGGTCATTTTTTCGCCTTTCAAAAAATTGGTACACTTTATGTACAACTTGTCACATGTCCTTAAGTTGTCTTGAGATAGCCTTACTCATCCTGAGATCTTAATCTCGTGTGCGTAGAACTCTAAGTGGTACGGAACATCAAGCACGTGTTGCCGCTTCGACTGCGCGGACGAGACTGCCGTATTTGACGCGCAGATGCACGTGTTTCCCTTCCCCGCTACACCACCCGCTACCCGCTGACATCTTGAGTACCTCGTCCCCGCCACCGTCTGTCACCCCGCAGGACGGTCGCGCACGACGTTGATGGACTATAAAAACAATTTTATGTATTTATTTCTTCAGCTTTAATGGTTCTCCCCAAAATTTAAATTATTTTTTTGCATTGGTATCATTTATTTAAAATGTTTTGTTTTTTATTTGCTGCTAGATGACGCTAGTGATAGGCCAAAGTTACCCGACTCTTATATTTAAATGTCAAAAGTTCTATTTTGTCTGGTGTTATTGTAAAGTTTTGGTTCGACTTTTTGCCACTGTGTGTCACTGGTAGGTGGTCAATTCAAAATATTTTTTTCATAACGTTCTTGTAGTGAACTAAAGGGGGATGCCAAGCCACCATAGTGCTTTAGGCAATGAGTGCCCATATGTGAAAATGGATGCAAATATTTCTTTAGCAGATAAATAATTTACTCACAAAAGAAAAGTTAACACAAAACTTCATAAATGTCAAGGTTTTTTTTTTTTTTAATGTGCGCTTACACAAGTGCAATAAAGTTCTTGGAAACCCTTCCTGTATACATATATCTAGTTAATATTGTATTTATAATCCATCCATCCATGTCAGGCCACAAATCTCCAACTACTGCATGGGCCTCCTCAAAATATTGGAAGAATATATTATATATATTCCTGCAGTGGTGGAAGAAGAATTTAGCCTACTATACCATGCGGGTATACATTTCTTGCTCTTTTATGATCTTAGATGGTTGAAAATGAAACTCAATTTAAATAGTTAAACCTTCATTCATCATACACTACTAAAACATCATCCAAAAATTGAGCAGGAGGAAAAATAATACCTTGATGCCGTGCCCACCCCAAATACCATAGCACTGTCATGACATGGGCACAGCATCCTACTGTACGACGGCCAACAATGCAATTGCAGCAGTATTGTTTGATAGCCTCGCGACCAGTTTCCGTATTGGTAACTTGTATATATATGAAGTATATTTTGCGACCGATGTGTCGACTTGCAATTCTTGCTCTAATTAGGTAACAATTCGAGCCAAAAATTAGTTCTTCCATTATTCTATTCCTAGAGTCTCTAGAGACTTCTATTTGGTATGACCCGTTGGTCCTTATATGCTCTCCGTAATAAGAACGAGCTTGTTTCAACTGATATATCCCACAGGCGATCAGTATTAGCTCATTATTAGCTCATTATTAGTTAGTCTTGGAAAGTCCCTTATATTTTCCCTGTCAACATTAATATTTTGGAAATCTGCTCTAGCTCTATTGAGATTATGATCCCTAACATAATCTGAAAGGTCATTGTTTCTGTTCATATTCCTGTTCACAATTTCAATTATTTCAGTGGTATCGTCTCTGTCTCGTAATCTGGTGTGATATTTATTTATAAGAGCAGCAGCCACAGAGAAATCTATCATGAGATGCTTGGAAGCTCTGTTGAAAAAGGTTTGCCTAAATATTTTAAACTTAGTTTTAAATATTCCATTCACCACTTCCACCACCCATCGACATAAAGTAACAGCTCTTGATTTATTTGCTTCTCTAGTTGTCAATTGTGGTTCACCATCTTTTGGGGATAATGGTATATGGACATTATAGCCACAACTCCTTAGGAGCGGTAATGAGTCTCTAAAACCTCTGTCGAGAATAAATACATCCCCAGGTTCAAAATATTGACGGCAAGAACTACTTTCAATTCCAAACTCCTGTTTCATAATGTCTGCATCTGTGGTTGTAGCAGGATAGGGGCCCAGTACGTCAATGATATAACCATCATTGCATACAAATAAAAATGGCTTAACCAGATCACGGTATTTATGCAATGAATATGTTTGTTTTTGATACAAGTAATTAGAACTTTTTTCTATATATATGTATGTACCATCAGCTATTATAATTGGTGTTCTCTCTGGGCCCCCATACAAATCATTGGGAATCAGCAGATTCCTTTGAGCAATTTCTGCTCTAGTTATGTGATTCAAGCCAAGATTTCTGGGAACAAAATCTTGATACAATAATTCTCTAGCCATCTTCATTAGACCTTCTAGTGTACTCCTTGGTATTTGCAATAATGATGAAATTCGTTCATTACTATCTCCTGTCCGCAATTTCAATAAATATGTTGCCAGAGCAAAAGCGCCCCTATGGCTATTTAATAACCTCGGGACTTCCGAAAGGATTTGCTGGAATTGTTCTTTTGAAAAGCCCAAGTAATAGTGAACAATATGATCTGGCATACTTAAGATATTGTCAAAATCTAAATGCATTAACATGTTATCTTTTAACAAAGAAATAAGTTCTTCCATTTGTTCTGCACTGAATGTCCTGATAAGATCATAAATTGAATCCAGAAGTAAATCCCATGAATTGCTTCTCAAGTGCATTGAACATATTCTGCAATCTGCAGGCACATAATAAGTGTAGTCACAAAGTAAACTTACTCTCAGTGAGGATGGTACTAAAAGCCGGTCAGACGCATTACATCCAGGAAAAAAACATTGTCGCTGTGTGCTAGGAGCTCTGATATAGTTAGGCAACTGCAAGCCATGAGATGGAGTTGTATTTCGTCCTTCAGCTTGTACTTGAGAAGATTCAATGTTAAATGATGGGAGACTTGACACTGCTGATTCCCGATCTGCAGTAAAGCGAGCAGCTGCTCTTTCAGTCCTTCGCCAACAGGTATGACAAAGATGGGCTGATCTTGGCAACTGTCAAAGAAAAAAGGCAACTGATATGTTTTTTCATTTAAAATTGCAAAACAACAATCATCAGAGCATGATTCGACTAAGAATTCTATCCCATGTAGGTACTTTTATTTGAATGAGAGAGTGTGGGAGAAATGAATCAATACGCAAGGAGTGGCATCAGATAGTGAGGTGAGTTACCGGCCAGACCGATGACCATGACCACTCTGCTGAGAGTGTTAACGAGTGAGAAGATTTTAATTAATAATTTATGTATAATATGTATGTTTAAAATAATATTTAAGTATGTTTATCAGCAGTCTGGTTACCACCATAGAGGCTCTGCCTAGTTTGGAACCAGCCTGCCATATGTGAGATGTTATTATTCTATATTCTTAGATCATTACAATATAGTTATAGTTCAACTACCTGGATAGACACTTTATCTCACACATATTCTAAGGCTGAAATTTATAAAGCGTACTTAGACTTTGCTCAGACTTACCTCACGAGTTAAGTGTGCGTTGAAATTTATAGTCATAATGCTTAGCTCAAGCTGAGCAAATGCTTAGCATAGTCTAAGTCACCAAAATCCATGACTTAGCCATACTTACGTGCTCATTAGTAGTTGGAGATGCTCTGAAAAGCCTTAAAATTAAATTATTTTAATATTAGCACCAAAGACAATGAAATTCTATTGTAAACAACAATCTATCAATGGTAATCTATGGATTTTTTGTTTTGTCATTGTATGTGGTCTCATAAACTCTCATTGTCTGTTGAATCTTTGTTTTCGCTTCGTGGTGTTTTCTGCGCTTGAACTCTTTTATACTTTTGGACCTTTTGCATTAACTCGGATTTTGTACCTGCTCTCACGACGACCCTTGTATTCCCTCGGACTAGTACCTGCTTTCACGACGACCCTTTTTTGCTCATCTACGGACACCGATTACTATTGTCATGAACACCGACGATAAGAAAAAAAAACAGAAGCCCTACAGTGAATTTGAAAAACAACTGCTTATGCAGTTGGTGACGACGAAAATGGACATAGTGGAGAATCGCAAGACCGATGGTACATCCCAAAAAAAGAAGACAGAAGCCTGGGAGGATATTGCATGCCACTACAATAACTCGCCTAACGTATCCCAGCGAGTAAGTTAAAATTCTAGAGAATAAAGTAGTAAATAACATATCCAGCTACTTGGGATTTTAACAACCTCATTCTCTCTTTACATTATCTGTTTTATTTTTAGGCGAATGCTGCTCAACTTAAAAAAATGTAGCAAAATCTAAAAACGAAGGCCAGAGATGCTAAAACTTTAGAAGCCCAAAAAAAATGGACTGGTGGTGGACCTGCACCTCCGGCTATAGGATCCGAAGAGACCCAGGTCCTTTCTATATTACCAACTATAATGCCAACAATTGAAGTTGAGATAGATAGTGATATAATCCAATCAAGCACCTCGCAATTTAGTAAGTACTCACTAAAACTTATATTTATTAGTTGTTCATTTTGTTACTATAAATTAAATGTCCAGGCATTGTAACATTCTAGATGTTCCCGTTGGTGTGGGAATTTCTTGTTCATGTGGGGTGAAACATACCCTATGTGATGTTCCAGACTATAATCTAGCTGTGCCAAATTTCAGTAAGATTTGTCTAGCCATGCATCAGTTATAAATATGTAGTACTAACAACTTTGTTTTAATTACATATACATACACATACAGCATCTAGTTATTTGTAAGTAATGATATCTTATTTGGTTTCAGGTGAAACAAATGATGATGACGGTGTTTACTGGCAAAACAAAAAAAATAGAATGATGGACATGGAAGTTCATGTCCTCGGAGAAGAGGTACAAGATATTAATACTCTACCGGGTTGTTCTCTCCAGGGGCTTACAATGCCCACAACCCCGGAACTAGCACCAGCTCCAGCAAAGAAAATAAAACCGGAACAATCTCTGGAGGATTTAAAAAAGGAACTTGTGAAAAAAGAAATTGAAAAAGTTACTAAACAGATAGAGCAAGATCAGGAAAAACATGCAGTAGAACTGGAAATATTAAAATTAAAAAGAGATTTGTAGAAGAAAGAATTAAATAAAAACTAAGAACTTAATATTATGATTTTTATTTCTTTATCAATTATAAGTTTCTACGATGGATTGTCGAAAAGCTAATCAATTCTTCTACAATTGAGAAATTGTCTCTGCTTCTTATTGCAATATTGTGAAGCACTGCACAAGCAACAATTATATTGCACACATTTGTTAATTTGTTTCTGAGGCCCAATTGCAGACATGAGAACCTTTTCTTCCAGACACCAAAAAATCTTTCTATTATGTTCCTTGTCCTTATTTGTACATAATTGTAATTATTTTCCGCACGTGTTGTTGGTTGTATCAAGGGTGTTAAAATAAATGGCATGGATGGGTATCCACTATCACCCACCAAGACTCCCTGCAATTGTCCACTAGCCAAACGTGCATGAACACGGCTATTTCTAAATATCCGACTATCATGAGCGCTTCCAGGCCATCGTGCAACAAGGTCATAAATTTCCATATCGGGACATACAACGGCTTGGACATTAACGGAAAAATAAGATTTTCTATTTCTGTATGCTTCAGAGTGAGCTATACCTCTTGGTCTATTTATTTTAATGTGGGTGCAATCTATTGCTCCAATTATATTATAAAGTCCATGTAGTTGGTTGGTTCTACCCAACTCTTCAAATTTTTGTTTGACATTTTGTAGCTGGTTTGGGAATTGAATAAATTGTGGTAAAAGTTGACTTAATGCTCTGGAAACTTTATTTATGATGATGCACACTGTAGATTGGCTAAAGCCTAATAAATCTCCACAAACAGTCTGAAACAGAAAAGTTATTTAAAAATACTACTGGGACAGACAATAGACCAAGAAATAAATTTCATATAGCTAGGACTTATTGCTCCTATACTGATCTGATGCAAAACTGTGGTGAAAAATAGTAAACATTCTAAAAGAATCTAAAAAGAAAGCTAAATTATTTTTATCTATATATTAATGAATATATAGAAATGAATATTACAAAGAGGAAAGATTTGATTGTTTGTTTGCTTTGAATAGGCTCCGGAACTACTGAACTGATTAGAATATTTTTTCACCATTAGGAAGCTAAATCATCCCCGAGTAAAATAGGTTATAAATCTGTGGTTGTTGTTGTACCGTGGGTAACACCACGGGGCTCTAACCTACTAAAGACACAAGAAAAAAGTTAACGGTCATGCCAGGTGGTATGACATGATCTGATTGAGGTAAAGATCTATGGAGTAAGTGTACAGTCTTACGAATCTAGTATAAAATGAGACAACTATAAAATCGTACCTGATAAGTTCCAGTAGCATAGAACCTTAATGCAATGAGTATTTGTATTTCTGTTGTTATTGGCAATCCTCTATTATCATAGTGGTTCAGTTTGTCAGCAATTAGTGGCAAAATAACATTTTTCACCGTATTTTTTGTAAATCGATATCTTTTTTTAAATTGATCGTCGCACAAATTATATGGAAGATCCATTATATTCATGGCGAATATAAGCTTTAGGCATACGAACATTATCCAGTGCCGATGTGCCGATTCTATCTATTCTAGACAGAACATTTTCAATTCTATCGATGTTCTCCATCGTTAACCAAAACCAAATCCGCAAGAAAAGTATATAAAGTCCGTGAAATATGCCAGAGTCAATGTGAAAAGATGGTTCGATTGTCCAGGAAGAAAAGCCGTAATCTAGTTCGAAAGCGTTGTAACAGAAGTCCGTAAGGGTGTGCCAGGGTCAAGATAAAAAGTTAATACAAGAAATTGATATATTTGCGAATGAACTCGAGACGAGACAACCTCAAATATTGTTATGACATTTGACAAGTCAAATATACGTACGTTTTGTTTTACTTGTACATGTGTACCTTTTATCACTTAAAATCAATGAAAACTAAAGGTGTTAATTGATTGAAATACAATTATATGATAAAATTTATAAGATTACTAATATTTTAGGTTATTACAGCTATTTTAAAAATAATATATTTTTGAAATACCAAGAATTTAAATTAATATGCTATGCAAATCGAAACGTTTAAAAATTTTTCCTGAGCTCTTGCTTAGCATACACTCAGTAAATTCTTAGCCCAAGAGGACTATAAATTCGAATGCTAAGATTACACTGAGCAGGAACTTAAGTAAGTTTAGCGTAAGCAAAGTCTGAGCAAAGTCTAAGTACGCTTTATAAATTTCAGTCTAAGACAGCCAGTCATTACAGCTATTTATTTGAAGTCTGATTGTAACCACTGTTAATACTCTCTTTACAAAGTATATTCCTAATAATAATATTGTATGTATATTATCTTACCTCATATCTCTTGGTGCAATTTGATGGGTAATAATATTCCTTATTTGTTCGCAATGTGGTGTATCAATGTTATGTGACCTTTGCCTTAAAAGTGAAGTTCCACAGCTGATGCATACAAGAATGTGGCCAACGAGAGGCTCAGTCGACCGTTGACTGGTTGGCATCCTGATTTCATTCCATGCATTGGTCCAACATGTATGACACACCAAACTATCACTCGAAACTTGCTAAAAAAGTAAATATGGGTTTAGATTATTTTAAGTTGTATAAAGCTATTTGCAGGTTTTTGTAATTTTGCATGCCTTACGGTAGAAGCACTTGAAAACACCATTGTGACAGTGTTTTCTGCAAAATAAATAATTTGAATTTGAATTTGTATGTAGGTATTTATTTACCTGCAGCTGTCCAACCCATCTTTGTATAAGGGATCGGACTTCAGCAATTTCCAATGAGTGTCTTCGCATTCTTGAAATATTTATATTACAATTTACACAGCGGACATAACCACTGGTAATATAAGCAGTAGACGCTCTTTGCAGAGACGAACTAGAACCAGGTTGAATGTCGAAGTCTTCGGTCGGTACTATCATCAAATCCAAGTTATCACGGGGGTTGTCGTTATCAGTAGGAGCGGAATCCATATGCAAGCCGTGGTTGTCAGGTAAAGAAGAATCGCCAGAGTCAGTATTCATGGTCAGAATCAACGATTTAATATTAATTAATATCGAGAAACACGCACAAATCACGATGATGCAAAGGCAAACAAAGTAATGATAAATTGACTGGGTAGCTGTCAGTTTGATTAGAGTTTTAAAATAATAATAGTATAGTTGCCATTGAATAAATAAAATATCGTATTATCGATCGACTCAAAAAGTAGATCGGTATTTAAATGATGAGCATTTAATGTATAATTTATAATTATAATACAATAAAATTTTAAAATACTCAAATGTGTGTATAAATAAAGTACAAGTAAGTAAAAAAGCTCAATGTAAATATTTTGTCAAAATACTATTCGATTTTTTTACGAAATGCTGGCAACCCAGAAAAATGCAAATGTCAGTGTATTAAGATAAAATTATTTTAGTGTTATTTAATTTGCCGAAAATATTTCTGGCTTTTATCCTGACTTGAATAGCAAGGAAAATTAAGAAATTTTAATTTATGGTTTTTCAGCAAAATACAATTGTTGGGCATTCTGAGCCTAATTTCGGCATTCCCCTTTCATTTGTACATAATAGTTGAGTGGTTCGCACTTAATAAAGTCACTTTACTAAAATTCATTGAAGGTTGAGTGATTATTGTATTAAAGTACACATTTATCTTTTAAGTTTCTGTTTACAGTAGTAAACTTTTAGTATTTTTCTTTTTCCTTTTGCACTGTTTTATAGTTGTTACCAATAATATCACTTGGTTATCATAATGTTTACACTTGATTACACAACTTTTTCACAGATTTTACACCCAATTCTAATATTTACAAATTTTAAATACTCAGATAATGTATTAGTATCGGTGTTGCCACCTCCCTTACTTCATATGTATGGCCCGCCAAGCTTTAGCCATGCTGTCGACTCCTTTAGCAATTTGCGTAAATTGTGAGGGCATATGCTAGGCGCCAGTTCCTTAAGTCGCTGATACTCTGATATTATGAGACGGGCTCTACGCCCCGGGTGTAAACGGGCCGTCAAAGTTAAGTGAATCAGAATCAGAATCAGAATCATTTATTTGTAAACATAGGTCAAATTACAATAGAGTGTGAGATGTTATGGATAGGCAAGTCCTCTATGTTTTGCCCAGGGGCGTACAAATTTACACATTTTTACACATTTTACACATTTTCAAATATACACTTTTTCAAATATCATAAATTTGTAGGATTATTTAAACTTCCACACTATTAATAACGTCAATGATAATAATTAATAATCACATGCATGTCAAAATAAATACAAAATACAGTCAATTTTAATAAATGTCAAACAAATTAATTTAATGTCAATTCAAAATCATTAGGATAGTCGAGGTATTGTACAATTTTCTGAAGCAGTAATTATAGAATTTTCGTCCAAATAGTCCTTTAGTGAGTAATAGCACTTACTTATCAAGATTTTTAATACTTCTCTTTTAGAATTGGCCAGAGTTAGCGTTTTAATTTTTTCAGGTAATTTGTTGAATATTTTGGCCATACAGAAGGTACTTTTATTCATTAGTGCAGTTTTGCCATATGTCACTTGGAGTTCCGACTTATTTTTATCTCGTAGTTTTCTGTAGTAACTTTTAGTTGCTAGTAGTTGTATGATGAGATATTGGATTTCACGAACATATTTGTTTCGTATATGTACAGAGATGGCAAGGTAAGAATTTTTAGACGTATGAAATACGGTCGACAACTGTCGGTGCTTTTTAGACCACACATAGCTCTGACACATCTTTTTTGGGCTTTGAATACAAGTTCTCTATCAACTGAATTGCCCCAGTATATTACGCCATATCTCAGTGTTGATGCAGCGTAACCGTGATAGGCCATTAGTACGGATTCTAGGCTTAGTATTTTTGATAGTTTATAAAGAACATAGGCAAATTTATTTAGTTTTTTACATACTTCGTCTGTCTGGGATTTCCAGGTCAAATTATTGTCTATATTAATACCAAGAAATTTAGTAGTAGTATTTGATTCTATTTTTGTCCCTAAATAGCTAATGTCAACGATTTTATTTGGTGTCCTTTGATAAAAATGCATAATTTTAGGTTTTTCTAAATTTATAATTAGATTATTATTTGCAAACCATGATATAATTCTATTTAATGTTGTATTTATTTCTTTTTCATAAGTATTGGGATCATCACACTTAATCACTACAGTGCTATCATCGGCGAACAGAACCATGGGGTGGTTTATTTGCCCAGGAAGGTCATTTATGTAAAGCAAAAAAAGAAGGGGCCCCAGCACGCTACCCTGAGGAACGCCGTATTTAATTATCCGTAGTGAATATATGTATAACATACTAGAGGAAATATACTATGTGCTCAACACGGCTGGTGGTGTATTAGATACTTAGGGGAAAGGGGTAGCCCCGGCCAACATTTTGTTCATGATTTTAAGACTACATTTATTAAGAGAAATTAAAAGAAAACTACAAAAAAATAATCAACATTATATTTATTTACGATAAATATTGAAAACTTGAACGAACTTATTATCTAATTCTAATTAAAGTCAATTCAAATACTAATCAAATTTTGATATTTTTTTAAGGTCGCGGCCACCTACGTATTAGTGACCAAATCGTTTTTCAGCGATACATACATCACAGTTGTAGTACAAATCAGATGGATTTATATCAACGCATGCTTCGTGAGCCAGGATTGTGACGCATCCATGATGCACTTGCTGGTGTGCGTTACCCCAGCAAAATAATGTCGAAAATGGTCATTTAAACTTTATAGATAATTAGTTGCTCCCCTTCTGTAATTGTTAAGCACATTTTTAAATTTGTTTCACTTAAACTTTTTTAGTTATTTCAAAAAAACATTTCCTGCTGGAGTAACGTTTGAAACGTTACCGCAGCCAGACATTTTCTTTTTTAATTGTAATATTGAAATAAATTTTAGCTAGATAATTAGTTATCTGGACTAGGTAAATGTTACAACTTATTTGGTATTTGTATTTTCTTCGGTTGCGAAGTTATTCGAAATCCTGCTGGAGTAACGTTTGAAACGTTACCGCAGCCAGACATTTTCTTTTTTAATTGTAATATTGAAATAAATTTTAGCTAGATAATTAGTTATCTGGACTAGGTAAATGTTACAACTTATTTGGTATTTGTATTTTCTTCGGTTGCGAAGTTATTCGAAATCCTGCTGGAGTAACGTTTGTGGGTTTGCTGGATCTCTGAAACGGGTAAGCGGATTGTAACCATCTTTTGTACATAACTTCTTAAGGATTAGTTTTAATTTGTTCGACAATAAAATAATAAAAATAATGGACCGTTTAAAAATTATTTAGGTAAGTATGAAAACACTTCAATACGTCCTAAAACTTTAAATAAGACCTCTAAAGACTTACTTGAAACGTTATTCTATTGCTTGTAACTACCTTCAAATGTATACGAATTTTCGTAAGAATACTGTAAGTGACTAAAAAGTTATGATGAAATGTAGCTCTCCACGTTCACGATCACAATGTGTGCGGCCTTTTTTGGCCACCGATAAACCTGTGTGTGGATATATAAACTGAATGTTATGCCAATAATTAGTTGTTTAGTTCAGTTGTCTACCTGTAAAATTTCAGCGTAGTACATATAATAATTTACGAGATAATTAAATAAAAGTCATTAGAAGGTGCAAGACCGTGGTAACCCGACCATGTTTAGGTGGTTACAAAAAAGCGATCACCCAGTACATTGTGCTGGCTTTTAAAATATGTAGGATATTATTTGGAAGTTTACTACGGATATGTACATAAGTGTTACAAAAAACTACATGTTTTTTAAATATTTTTTATTTAGGATTGTTTATTGCATAATTAGTAATCAGCCGGGAGATTAGGTATTGTTTTGAATGCTTTTGTTTTCTCGTAATGTTTAGGTGAATTGTTTATAGTTGTTCATAGAATTGGTACCTGCGTAGTATTTGTTAATTGAAGTTTAATTTTAGGGTAGGTATAGGTAATTTAAGAAATATGAAATGAAATGATAAGTTTTGAAGAGTGTAACGTATGCGTTGTAAATAGGTATTTTGTGAATAGATGGGGATTTTTTTAAGTGATGAATCGATTTAGGCTAGCATATCGCGAACAAACTCTGTATTGCATTATTTCTGTAATAATGTTGGAGAAAATAAAATATTTGATCACAAAATCGCGGTGAGTTAAATTATAATAAAATAAATTATTTATGTAAAATTAGTAATAAGTGATATACCTACCTAAAAGTTATGATCGTTTTTAATTTGTTCACCCTGAACGAAATTTCAATATTAGCATTAGTAATTAATATCCTAAGACAAGAATTGTCAATTACTTAAATTGAATCGAATTAGCATTAATGCCTATTATTAGTAATTAGGTACACACATATTGAAGAACTCTCAAGAATACGATAAATATTTGCAAAAATAGGAAGCGGAAGCGCACACGTACTTTACAACACGTATATTATCTGCCTAAGGGTCAAGTTTAGTGCACTAGATGCAAAAGGCAAACAATGAAGTATCCCTTCGCCCCTCCCCTCCCGCGTTCTAGCGAAGGATGTATTATCAGCGATTCTTGATTGACAAATATTATCTGACCAATAATTTTATCTATAAAAATGTATCACTTTCACTCGATAAATTAAATTACCGTTATTATATCAAAATATCATTCAACAACTGTTCGTTTTTAACAGAAATCAACAGTCACGGGCTCAACGCTTAACGGTAGGTACATAGGTATAGATAATTCTCGGTTCTAGGTATAGACCACAGAACAATATTACCTACTCTTACGAGGTATACGACTGTTGGGCGATGCAATGTTGATGCATTCTAATTTACAACTGTATTCTTCTACTATTCGGTCTATTTTAACTTATTTTAGATGACTTGTTGCTTTAAATATTTTGATGCATTCAAGTCTAAGCTCTATACACCCCAAATAAAATACAATTACTTTAGTGTTATTTCTTTACAAAAAAAATCAAAGAAATGAAACGATTTCTTATTGGTTTAAATTTTCGTTTTATTGCAGTCAGGTGAATCGTTCATACATGTATCTACATATTTATAATTTTTGCGGACCAGTGCAGATTTTCTGTTGATTGTAGCTCCGGTAGTAAAAAAGACTAAATAAATTTTAAGTAAAGAAACAAGTGCTTAAGATCAATTAGGGAAAAAAACAAAATAAATAATAGGTAATAATAATAAGTAAATATTGAATGTATTTAACACTGTACGCAACTGTACCGAAATCGTAAGGTGTATTACACTAAACATTTTAAAAGACAGCGCAATGTACTGGGTGATCGCTTTTTTGTAACCACGTAAACATCTCAAACTCAAACTCAAACTCAAACTTTCTTTATTTCATAAAATTTTCAAAATTGTTTGAAATCGTCTTCCATGTAGACTCTAAAGTCATAGATCAACACACACAAAAGCAACAATCTCTGTTTTGTCAAATAGTAACCAAATAAATTTAACAAAATCAAACCCATACAAAATCTATGATATGCCTGTGCCGATCTACAACCGCCCGTTTCCAAGGGGTTGAGCCTTATGAGAAGAAAGGGCAAACAAACTCATGGCCACTCTTTTGCAATTCACAAGTAGATACAATGGCACTATTAAATATATCACAACATTGTTTTGATGTGTGCTAGTATGTCCGTTATTAAGGACTTAAAGGTGAAAAAACAACGAAGAGAAAACAAGATTAAGAAGAACAAACGAATACAAGAGAAAATGAAGTGAAACATAAAAAATAGAAAAAAATAATAAAAAACATACTAGCCACACCACATTTTTACTTAAGAAAGAAATAGCCTGCGCTAATTAATCCCAAGCATTCTTGTCCTCCATGTAATCCACAATCGAGTAGTAGGCCCTCTGGCACAAGCCACGTTTTATTGCGGATTTAAATTTGTTAATACTCAACTCCTGAATATTATTTGGGATTTTATTATAAAATCGGACACATTGACCTCGAAAAGACTTGTTTATCTTTTGGAGCCTAGAGGCGGGTACAACAAATTTATTTTTATATCTGGTATTTATGGCATGTACATCACTTTTTTTCAAAAAGCTATCTTTATTTTTGTGAACATATATTACATTTTCATAAATATATTGACTTGCCACTGTCATTATATTTATTTCTTTAAATTTCTGCCTCAATGAACAACGATTGCCTAAATTATAAAGTGCTCGAATAGCTCTCTTTTGCAGCACAAAAATAGTTTGAATGTCGGCAGCATTCCCCCACAGCAGAATACCGTACGACATTATGCTATGAAAGTAACTGAAGTAAACAAGTCGTGCTGTATCAACATCAGTCAACTCTCGGATTTTCCTTACTGCGTATGCTGCTGAGCTGAGTCTACTCGACAATTTATCAATATGTGGGCCCCACTGTAGCTTAGCATCTAGTGTTATACCTAAAAATGTCGTAGTGTCCACAAGGTCCAGCCCGACATCCTTAATTATCACAGTAGTTTTCACTGGCTTGACGTTTGGCATAGTGAAACGTATACACTTAGTTTTTTGTTCATTTAATAGTAAATTGTTGACATCAAACCAATGAACCACTTTCGAAATGGCGCTGTTTACAAATGTGAAATCAGAAAGTGTCCGTTTTAGTCTAAATAATAGTGATGTATCATCTGCAAACAACACAATCTCGAGATTGTCCTTGACAAAGTGAGGTAAGTCGTTAATATATACTAAAAACAAAAAAGGGCCGAGAATAGAACCCTGTGGAACGCCCATTTCTATCACAGAGCCTGGAGACCGCTCACCATTAATATCAACTTTTTGAATCCTATTACATAGATATGAGGCAAGTAGTTCCAGGGCTTTAGTTTTGATACCATAGTGCTGTAATTTCCTGATCAGCGTTTCATGAACAACACAATCAAAAGCCTTAGATAAATCGCAAAAGATACCTAGAGAATCGTGGGCATCCTCCCAGGCATCAAATATATGTTTTACTAGCTCAACACTAGCATCAGTTGTGGAGCGACCCCTTGTAAAACCAAATTGTCTATTGTGCAATAAATTATTATTATTAAAAAAACTGTGCAATTGATCATACATAATTTTTTCAAAAATTTTACTAAATACTGGTAGTACTGAGATAGGTCTAAAGTTAGTTGGGTCAGATGTACTACCAGATTTGAATAAGGGAATAATTTTACTAGACTTCATAAGATCAGGAAATACACCACTATCAACACATTGATTAAATGTAAATGACAATTGATTAGCCACAAGAGATATAATTGTCTTAGTAATTAAAACAGAATTTCCCCATAGGTCGGTTGTTTTTTTAACATTAATAGTGTTAAAGGCTTTAATAATTTCAAAGGGGGACACATATTGGAACTTAAATTCACTATCAATTCTTCTAACATTCTCTTTTAAAATTGATTCTGCAAGGTATGGTGAGGAGTTCAAAGATTTAGTAGTTGATACAGGAATGTTAGTAAAAAAATTCTCAAATGCAGCAGCAACCTCAGCATTTGATGTGATAAATTTATTGTTTATGTTTAAATTAAATTCATTATTACGGTTTGGATCTTTGCCAGTTTCACTATTAATAATTTTCCAAGTGGTTTTAATCTTATCATTACTACTTTTAATCTTTGAACTAATAAAACGAGACTTAGCCAGTTTACAAAGTTTCCTAAACAGCTTCGAATATTCTTTAACATAATTATGAAACTGTTCACTTTTATTATAATTCCTCTCATCGTATAGCTCGTATAATCTTTTCCTACTTTTGAGTAAGCCAGGGGTAGCCCATTCACTAAATGTGGCGTTACCTTTAACCACTAGCGTTTTTGGTGTAAAAATGGTGTTAAATGTTGAAGAGAAAGTTTCAAAAAAACTATTATAATAAGTATTAGGGTTATTCTCTACACAGAGTACTGAATTATTAAAAGCAGCTTTAAGTTTATCCTTAAAGTTTTCACAACGCTTTGCGGTTTTAGGTATCACCACAATTCTTTTTCTGACACTTTTTCATACCTATCACAGAAAGATACTAATTGACCACAGTGGTCAGATTGTAATTGATTGATTATTTTCTTGTCCTTAATAACAATATCTGTAAATATATTGTCCAAACATGTGGCAGTGGTGGCAGTGATTCGTGTAGGCTCCAAGAACAAGTTCTTCAGATTGTATGATTGAAAAAGTGCCTTGAACTTGGTTACTATACTTGAATTTTCCAATAGGTTAATATTGAAGTCACCACAGATGATGACCTTCTTTTTTGATCTTGTTACTTTAACTAATACTTCATCCATAACACGTTCAAAACAATCATACATAGCTGAAGGAGGTCTGTATACACATACTACTATGAAACCTTTTAGTTCTAAACAGGCTATTTCTGTAGTTCGCTCAACTGATAAACTAACAATGTCATGGCGCTCTTTAAATTTAAGTTTCTTATTAATGAGTATCATAGTGCCACCATGTATTGCTGTACTTCTGCTGAACGAGCTGCCTACCTGGTGGTGGTCAAAATTGAACATAAACTGATCCCCTTTTAGCCAGTGTTCAGTAATACAAAAAATATCAATTGCATTGCAGTTCATGAACAGTTCCACCTCCAAGTCTTTGCCCATCATTCCTCTAATGTTTTGATGCACCAAATTTATATTATTTATCATATTATTTTTAATAAATTTACTGTGATTGAACTTTCTATTAGTGATCAAATTAATATTGCAAGAGGTAGTCTCTATTGTCTTATCAGTAAATTTAAATTATTTGAAATGTCAATCTCATTATTATGTAAATTATTAGGTATGTCATTTAAATTTTTATTAATGTCTAAAGAAATATCTGCCAACGGATTGGCAAAGTCGCTATGGGTAATGTCAATTTGCTCAATAGAAGCAATAGTTTTAGCCAAGTTCTTGGCTGTAATGGAAAAATAATATGATAGCGAAATTGCTATCTGTCTCTTATAATAATTAGAAAGGTAATATCTACCTTTCGTCAATGAAATATTATTACTAACAAGCTTGTTAGTGTCGATTAGATGTAATTTATTACAATAGGGTCCATTTATTTGGCACGTTAGGTTGTGCATCATTATATTTAAATTATATCTAACATTTCTTTCCTTCTGCGACAACCCTTTGCTAAGAGGAAGTGTAAACAATACAATTTTATTTACATCTAACTTTAACAATGATTCAAAGTAGCCTAAGAATTTCTTTTTGTTTACATTTCCCCTGTTACCAACAAAAATGACTAATGAAGTATTTACATTGTGGTCCGATTTGGAATTTAAAACTTTTTCCATAATATCATTAAAAGATGAGTGAGGCATGCAATAATTGCTGAATGAATGTCCCAACTGTGTATTTAACATTAAGGGACCCATGCCCTTTCCAATTTCATCACTAAACATTGCTATGTTATCATTTTTGTACAATTTGTTTGTTTGTAAATGGGAGTCCTTGAATTCAGGTACAAAAGTTCTGATAGGTTGTGGTGGCAGCGAGGAAGGAGCATGTGCTGTCCTGGGGCTGTCTATAGAATACACTGAATCATTACATTGACAGGAGTTAACCAGCCTGCCAATAGCCAGCACCTGCTCCCTGCTCTGCTTTTGGGAAATTTCATATTTATAGGTAATATTACTAAGTTGTTCTTTAAGACGGTCAATCTCACTTTGTAATTCTCTTGTATCTTTAATGTATTGACTCGACATGTTGTCTAGTTCTAATGAGTACACAGACACCTGATCAATCAGATGAAGTCTCTGCCTATTTAGTGACATACTATTAATAAAAAATTTTTGTTTGTGAATCATTTTTTTTGTTTTGGTAATTATTTTTTTAACTTTAAAAAATAGCGATACCTGTAAAGCGATGACAATAAATTCCAGGCACAATTTTCAACACTTTTTTAATGTTATTCGTAACTTGCCGGTATCCCAACCGTCACTTACAAATTTGTTTATTTACTAAAATAACATTTATGAACTATTCTTATATAATTTGTGCAAGTAGCATTTATTTGCTTAGTGAGAAATTGGTATTTAAATGATATTTTAAACAGAATATAATATTTAAAACAAAAAAATAAACGGGAGCAATTCAGAACAGCTGTTTACCGCGGGGTTGCCACAGAGCAAAAAAACTCGGTCGGATTACCACGGACTTGCACCTTCTAATGACTTTTATTTAATTATCTCGTAAATTATTATATGTACGACGCTGAAATTCTACAGGTAGACAACTGAACTAAACAACTAATTATTGGCATAACATTCAGTTTATATATCCACACACAGGTTTATCGGTGGCCAAAAAAGGCCGCACACATTGTGATCGTGAACGTGGAGAGCTACATTTCATCATAACTTTTTAGTCACTTACAATATTCTTACGAAAATTCGTATACATTTGAAGGTAGTTACAAGCAATAGAATAACGTTTCAAGTAAGTCTTTAGAGGTCTTATTTAAAGTGTTAGGACGTATTGAAGTGTTTTCATACTTACCTAAATAACTTTTAAACGGTCCATTATTTTTATTATTTTATTGTCGAACAAATTAAAACTAATCCTTAAGAAGTTATGTACAAAAGATGGTTACAATCCGCTTACCCGTTTCAGAGATCCAGCAAACCCACAAACGTTACTCCAGCAGGATTTCGAATAACTTCGCAACCGAAGAAAATACAAATACCAAATAAGTTGTAACATTTACCTAGTTCAGATAACTAATTATCTAGCTAAAATTTATTTCAATATTACAATTAAAAAAGAAAATGTCTGGCTGCGGTAACGTTTCAAACGTTACTCCAGCAGGAAATGTTTTTTTGAAATAACTAAAAAAGTTTGTTAAAAAAGTGCTTAACAATTACAGAAGGGGAGCAACTAATTATCTATAAAGTTTAAATGATCATTTTCGACATTATTTTGCTGGGGTAACGCACACCACTTGCTGATCCGTAAGCCTGTGTAGATTAAAAAACACGCGATCTAATGGCTGCAGCTTATGTGTCGTGTGGGACGGAGTACTCAGCATATGAATATGATTATCTCTAGCATATTCAATAACCTTCAGCTCTTTGTAGCTATTGGTGCTAATTCTGTTGTTCAAAAACTCTCTAAACTAAACTAAAAATCACTTGGTTCACCGTACAATACGGGTTGAAGAGGAGGTCATAAAACCGCTCAACTGGAGGTTTATTGAAAACTGTAGAACGCATCAAGCTTGTAGTCTCTGGAGTTCTTGGCGCTACATCTGGATTTATTTTCTTAAAGTTACAGAAAAAACATTTTCCAGCCATTCGCTTGTCCTTGTTTCCCGCGAGGAATTTTATTTTTTTCTGCCAATTCAAAGGCAAGGCGCAAAAACTAACTTCTTGTTAAAGGCATGAGACGATTATCTAAATTTATAACATGCTTACAAAGTCTTAAGTAAGTCAAGTCTTTCAACCTCAGGTTTAAATGTCAGTTGAAAACGTCCTAATTTTGGCTTGAGGGCAATGTCATGACCTTGTTTCATAGCTTTGATACGATCCTGCCAAAAAGTACGTGGAACTTCGTATCGATCTGCGGCAGCTTTCTCAGAACATTTTTTGTCAAAGACGGCTTGAATTGCTTTTTTCATATTTTCTTCACTCCAGATTTGTAGTTTTATTTTTAGATTTAGGCGTTGTAACACTGCAACAAATGATTTTTGACTGTAAGGTTAAACACATTTAGAATAATAGACATCAGAACGTGGCCGGGGATACCCCCGAAGCTGATGGCCGGGGTTACCCGACGTGAACTTTGTTAAAAAAAAACATTCTGTTTAAAAAACAGATCGTTACATATTCATAGAAACTGAAATATACAAAATAGAATAAAATTGCAATATGTAAACAACATAAGATAAACAATTACATACCTTTCACAAACAAATATTGTTTCGGAAATAATTGGTGTCACGCGGTCCCAGTTCACCAAAAACAAAATGCACTCAATTACGTCTGAACGCAACGGTCAATCGACATCTTCTGTCGGCATATGTAGAATGACTCGTTAACGCACCCAGAGATCACACGAACTTCAAGGTCACGTCACGCGAAGTACGATTATTTGCTCTGGTCGAGGCTACCCGCCGGCCGGGGTACCCCCCTTGAAATTAGGTTTAAAGTTTTTTTTCTTTTTTTATTTCATATCTTTTTTATTTTTGTTCCGATTTCATTTATCTAAAAACATAACATTATTAAAAAATCTGTTGTACTGACGTGTACTTAGTATTTATGATATTTGGGTAATTCTACGACAAGAAGTTTTTAGTCCATAGAAAATACGGCCACGGAGAAAAGTTGCTGTTTTTTCATTAAACACATATTACGATTTGTCCTATTTATCCTTTTGTCCTATTTATGTTTCTTTTCACGTAAGGGCAAGTCACTTTATGCATATTTTATTACTTTTTACAAGTCCAGGGTAAATACATTGGGCAGGGTAGAGACACCAAGATCAGGGGAAATATTTTTTGGGCCAGGGGGGAGAATAACCGGGGTGGCGGCGAGCGCGTTGCGAAGCGCGCTCGCTTCCAGGGAGCACAGGGAACATGGGGTTCCCACACGGGGGGGGGGGGGTCGTCTACTCGTCTGTAGATGACCCGAGGTATGTCGGGGCACCAGGGACTTCCTTTCTAGGGTATACCTGGTTCCCCGGCTATTAGTACCCGGCGACGGCGTGCGGTTTTAGTCGGTTCGTGTCCGACATGCCACCGACAGGTGGTATCCGAGGGGATTTCCGCACGGAAAAAGAAAAAAACAAAAAGGGGGGGGGGGGGGGGGGAGAATAAATGTAACAAAATTAGAAGAAAAATATTGACATTTTATTAAGCATTGTACTTAACATAGAATCAGACTATCATTTTTACCAATCATATTAAACATTAACAAACTATATTATTTCAACCTTCTCTGAAATTTAAAACAAAAGTGTCTTTAGTGTCATTACACAATAATATATGAAATTAACATGGCATTGTACCTTCAACAAATAATAAAATATTCTTTTATTAATACTTATTACATTATTGGCGTCTTTTAAGTAATACAAATAATCAGACTTGCGATAACTAGGATAATTTTCATATTAAATGTGCCTATGCTACATTTCACTAAATTAACATGTTTTAATAATAAAATAAAATGAAAAATATAAATTAAAGGCACTCTCTTGCCTATATTAACAAAAAATAAATGCTTAAGCTTCCTCCAACACGTTTACCGACTCTTTGAAACAGTAGAACATCCTCTGCCTTTTAAAATAAGATTTCGCATGGAATGCCATAATGCCTGAACAATCTGATCTTCTGAGATAAATGAAATATCGTTTTCTTCAACTTTAAATAATTTTCCACTCTTGTCCCCTATTTTACAGAAAACTACCTGTATTTCGTCATCTTATTCTAAACCCGTACACATGGCCACGTAACGATACTCTGTTTTTTTAGAGAGTAGTTTGACAAAAATAAAATCACCGTTTTTAAATGTTTTTTTGGATGTCGACGGTTGTTCTTCATCCCCTATGTGGAGCTTGCCACCTTTTGGTGTGACGGCTTGTTCACTGTTAAATGGATTCTCTTTCTTCTTCTCGGACTTCGAATCTGGTCCGTAAACATCCTCGACTCGAAGACTAACTTTTTTATTAGAGGAGTATATTATGACACCAATTTTGAAATGATCACAATTTTCATTACAAAAGCAGCTTAACTTCATTTTCAATTTTGTTGGATCTTCAATGTTCCATGACACTTGATGGACATGCAATGTACCGGGAAAAGTCTTTATTTGTTCTTTAGCACTAGCAATTAAAGCGTCTTTCTCAAGGATATTTTCATCATCAATAACGAAAACATTGATTGATGCTAGGACAGTTTCTCACAGAGTCTCACAGAGATGTCTCACAGAGATGCTATATCTTTGCCACTAGCCACTAATCGGTCTGCTGATCTTTTGCAAACAGCTCCGAAACTATCAGGAGTCCCCTTACCGTGTCCAGCTTCATGGTAATTCCACGTAAAGTGTACAAGGGTTGGGTAGAACTCTGTTAAATGGGTGACTAGAAAGTAAAACATGTGTTTGTTGCGGTAATCTCTCCTTCGGGTGGCAGGCTGTTCAAAATTGCCTGTAAATGTGCCCATATAGCTGGAGGCGAATGTAACAAATTTTGTGCCATCGAACAATAGCAAGTAGTTTTTACTTCACCTGATGCTTGTTCCTTTGTGTAAGTGACGACCGTGTGCAGACTTATCTGTTGACGCCAACCTCAAAAATGGAATGCCTGAATCTCTTCTGCGTATTTAGTTAAATAATTTTCACTGAAATCCATATGTATCACAGCTTCTTTTACAGATAAATTAGTTTTTTTAATCTTAAGACCAGAACGCTGGTGGACTATGTTCAGCTCGTGTTGAAGGAAATAGTCCAAATTATATTCTAATTGCATAATGAAATCTCGAGGACAAATCCGTATCGATTTTTTAAAATATTTAGTAACTTTTCTTGCTTATTGTGTTTTTGGATCAGTTATATTGGCGGAGACAGTATAACAGTTATTTTTTAGTATATTTGTAATGCGTACGGACTTGTTAAAAGCGACACCTGTTGCCCGCGTCGCATTGTTTTTTTGATTTATCTAAAGTAGTTTATAACTACAGTATTGATGTTCTTCGATTCGCCGTCGGACCACTAGATGGCGTTTGTTTGAGATAAGTCTTTTTATTAATTTATCATGACAAATTGTATAGGTATTAAGAGTGTTTTGTTATGGTAGGAAGCGAGTTACTTTTGATTTTGTTCGTGTTAACCTCGTTGATAATTTAAATGTCAAAGTAAAATGTTAAGAAGAGATTATTTCTGGAAACTTCGGAAACCGAACATATATAAGTCCGGCTTTCAGCCACGGGAGAGACTCTGCTATCTCGTGTCTTCCAATCTTAAATAGTGTTTTGATTTTCGTGTGATTTGATTTTCGTAATATATTATCTGTTCAAAAGTACCCACGAAAGTGGTGAGTATAGTCTTAATTTTTCTTGTACCTATTTGTTTCTGGAACCTGATCAATAATATGAGTGCTAATCCATTCGTAGGGTCCCAGATTTCGGGGTCAAGACGGTCAGTCTCAGACGGCGTGCTTGTTCGTTTGTGGCCTTCTGGTTCGAATTCAAGTTTCTCGGTACCCTCTGGCGAGCTGGCAGTCACGCGGCTCACCAAGCAAGCGGACAGCCGTACCCAAGGGTTACGTACTTCTAATTAACTTTATAAATACCAATTGTGAACTTTTCTCAATATCTAATATAAATAGCCGACTCGGGCGGAAGGGGAAGTGACCTCCTGGAGTGAAGACGAGGAGGCTCCGAGCACCATCAGCTCGGCTCTGACGCGCTCCGCTGCGGTTTTTCTTGTACCCACTGATTAATTTATTTATTTTTCTATTGCAACTTTCATTTTGTTTTTTTGAAATATACATGTATGTATGACTGAGGTGTAAGTTGTTTTCCTCTAAGGAATCCCGTAGGTTTCCCACACGCACACACTTCTGTTCTCTTAAAAGGCGCCCTGAGGTTATCACATAAATCTCTCCACTGGGTCAGCCGGTGAGTAGTCCGCCTGAGAAGAAAAGCGGCTACAACAGATCCCCACTTTCTGCAGACAATTTGAATATTATTATCAAATTCTTTGTAATCGAGTCCTTTATTTTTGTAAGTTATGCATCCTCTTGAAATACACTGTTCGTTGTACCTATTGCAACAAATTATATGAAGCAGATTTTGATGCTTTGATACAGAGATAATTTTAGCTTGAAATAGAGCTGTGAGCATCAGATCTATATTGGCGTGTGCAACGCACAAACAAGTGTCACGTTTGTCGCAATTCGGTTGCACTATCCAAAATGGCTTAAGGCGACAGAACATTTTGCTGAGATTGAGAGAGAACATTGAGCATTTGATGAGATTTCTGTGGCCGCGCAATCTTTCACGTTTCGTTTGCGGCCAACTTAAAACTCCTATAACTCCTTATTTATACTTTAACTAATGTTTGGTTTGGTCCCTTCGATTTTGACAAATTACGACAAATTTTAGGCAGGTACTGGGCCATCGTCTGATTGAGTGCTTTCATCGATTTTGTTTAGTTCATGACAGTAAGATGAACTCAAATTTTTAATTTTCTTAGAGAAGGACTTTGATCGAGAGCTTTTCATAAATTTCCTTGTACGCACTATCTCTGGCATCTCTGATTTTCAAGAAATCCGTATTTCCGTATTCGGGGACTCCCCATATGCTTTATAACGACTGGGTTATCGACCAGTGAAAATGAGCCTTAAGTGAATGAAGACGTTTTGTACGGGTTCGAGATATTAATGAATATTCTTCCGATGTAGTTGTTGGTCGAACGCATTCAGGGCACTGTACGACTAAATCTTCTAAATGGTCTTCCAGCCAGGTCTTCCAGGTATGATTTTAAAACAATTATTGGCGATATGACCCACCATGTTGCAGGAAAAACATTATCAGACGATCCGTAAATCCAATAATTTGTATCTCCAAGTGAAATCATTCTGGAAGACTTTCTTCATCCTCAAGTGTCACAAACAAAAATTCTTGGGAAATATTTTTCTTGTTTTATTTATTTTTTCTTTTTTGGGACAACTCCCGTACGTCGCTGTGTCGCTGAGGACTTTACACACATACATGAAACGGACACAAAGTAAACTAAAAGCAACATTTTGATGATCACACAAAGTGTTGTTCCATGTGGGAATCGAACTCACAACACTCAGCGAAGTAGGAAGTAGCGTGGCAATCGCTTAAACCACTACGCCATTCGGTTATTAATGACTAAATCATTAATAACCTGCAACTGGGACCCCGTTCCTAGTTAATTGCGGTCCGAATCGCGGGAACCCTCGAAACAGCTATACGTATTATAAAGTATGTTTATGTGTAAAGTATGTTTTAGTTACATGTAATAGATAATGATAGTAGCATTCGATCGATTAATATTATTAATGTCGTAGCGGCGGACGTTTCTATTTGCTCCACTAAATCCATTTTTGCTGTAGTTGCGGCAAAAAATATATATTTTTTTTGCATTCCATTGATCATAAAAACGAATGATCAGCATGACCAGCTATTGCTGTTTATCTATATGTAAGTATATAAGTATGTTGATCAGCAGTCTGGTTACCATAGTAGAGGCTCTGCCTAGTTTGGGATGAGACTGCTGTGTGAAAGATGTGTGAGGTTAATATTATACTTTAGCATGTTAACTAATTCCCATGCATCGATATTTCCTCAAATTGTTGAAGTTCTTTTTACTGCATTTAACTACTGTTTCCTTTCTACTTCCTGTAGCGCATCTCTAGGTGTAAACGACACGTCCTATATGAAGTTGGTAACTTTCAGTGGCTTTGAATCCTCGTAACACCAGCAGCATCCTTACTTCAGGGCAGTTGACATCAGCCGACCATGGTAGTATATTCATTTTTAGTCGCTACACAACTAGTTGGTAAAGAAATCAAATAAAAGAATTAAATGTATGAGAATTATTGTAGTAAAATTTATTTTTTATCTATATCAGATTTTAAAACGATATGTTGTTTTGTTTTCATTCATTGCATTAATGTTTATTTTAGATTAAGAATTATTTACAATCCATTGAGTAAAGCGTGAAACACGTACATTGACCCGGGGGAGTACTGGATGACCACAGCCAGCACCGAAAGAGACAATACCGACAATATTGCGATTATGCAAGACGGGACCTCCGGTGTCACCATAACATGAGTCACGACCACCGACATTGAGCAAACCGGTGCAAAGCATGTTCGGAGTAATTATTGAACTGCCGTGAAGTTGTGTGCAAACATTCTGGTTGATGGTGAAGACTTGGGCCTCACGAAGCTGTATAGACCTTATACCACCTTCCTAAAAAACACAAAGCACCTGATTGGAAAATTGTCTTTAATAGTCTGAGAATTCATTATGATTTGTCAACATGGCGTATGTATAGCCATCACATGCACAACTCTATTTATATGTTCTGACGGAAGAGGCAGAAATAGGATACAGTATTTTATTTACGTCTGCTCTAGATGATGAAATCGCATTGAAAAGTTAATGAACTGATAAACTTACCCATGCTCCCCAGCCAGTTATCCATACTGGTTGGTTGTCACCGAGGATATAGTTGGCGCCAGCGATTGTTCCTTGTCTAAGAACATGGGTGTAAACAAAGTTGGTAGCGCTGCGCATAATCATAACATCGCTATCTAAAGTCCACACGTTGTAATTCGGGTGCGTAATAAGAAACGCGATGTTGTGAACGACTCCACCGCTGTTGGCCCATGTGGAACCAAGACGCACACGGAACTGATTTGCTGGATAAGAGCTAGAAAAAAATATAAGTCTAGAGATTTTCGAGTTTTTATTTATCAGAAAAAAAGCCTATCAATTTTATGTAGAGTTAGAAGATTAAACTTACTACTCTCTCCCAAGGGCACATTGCGCACTAGTTAAAATAGACCTATTGTTGAGGATAGTACCACCACAATGTTGATTAAGAGCATTACCGCCTGCCAAGAGCATAATGTTAGCTTTCTCAGGCCATCTGTCGATGTACGTAGGCGATCCACCTATGATCCTCGAAGATAAAGGAGGGCTTTGTGGAACAGCTGAAATAAAAAAAAATGATTTATAATTTACCTGTGAAGGCTACGAATTTTTTCAACTTTCAAATAAAAGTTTTCAATTTTTGGGCCGCGGGCCGCCATAGAGTGGGGACCTCTGGTGGCAGATTGATTGCTGCGGTAGGGAATGGAATGGCCGGTCTGATTGCATTAAGATGCGATCGGGCCGCCATGCCGCGATTGAAGGGGGAAGTGTTCTCCCCTGGGATAGGGCCTGATTAGGCATGGTGTCAATTCGGGGAGGACCTGAAATAACATGGTCCGGGTCCTCCCCAGAGTAGGACACCTAAGGCCGGCCGTCGGGGTGGTTTTTAGTGGAATCACCACATACTCCTGGCTCCTGAGTCCCCGAGGAGCCGGAGATCCGAAGGGATTTTCCACCCCGTCAACAAAAAAAAAAAGACCTTAATAATGCCTTTATAATGTTACCCATGAACTTTAATTAAATCCCTAAATAATTGTTTAAGACCTTTTAGTGCTCTTTGTATGTTTAGTTTTCTATTTTTTATGTACGTAGTGCTGAGTAAATATGGTGTTTAAATATTTAAATTCTAGTCAAACATATCGGGCTTATAAGCTCGCTATTTAAATATGGTCTTTAAGTTTTTGATTTTGTAGTGCAACTTCTTCAAATCCCTAGACGACGGCAATATCGGTGTAAACATACAATAAAAATACAAACAATTTAACACATTTATACCTTCTTCTTAAAATAGGTTATACGAGTACATATTGTTGTTAGTAAATGTTAGGCAACTTACCAGCAACAGCCACTATGCTTATGGCGAACAGAGTAATAAGACGCATGTTGTTATCTGCTTCTTCGGAATCAGAGTAATTATTTTAAACACACATGACCTAATTTATACTGATTTTACAAATGTTATCAGTAATTAATCGTTGAGATTAGACTGTATCTGACTTTTAATCAGTTAATGAAAAGCCCCTCCAGGAACCTTTATAGTTGTGTTAACAATAATAATTTTTTAGTGTCTTCATTTCAATAATCGAATCATTTATGGACTGCCTCGCCTCGGTGGCGCAGTGGTAGCGTATGCGACTGCTGTGCCTGAGGTCTCGGGTTCGATTCCCGGGTCGGACCAAATGTTTGTATGATCTACAAATATTTGTTTCGGAGTTTGGGTGTTTTCTATGTATAATATGTATTTATTTACAAAGAAAACAGTATATAAGTATTATATTAGTCAATCTAGCTATCATAGTACAAGCTCTGCTTAGTTTGAAACAAGATGGCGTTGTGTGTCAGATGTCCGAATATAATAGAATATTAAATTATTTATTAATCAAATTTTGTAGACAATCTCAAGTTAATTAACCCTTATTTCGATGGAGAAGTTGGTAATAAAATAAGGCAAATTTTATTTAATTATCTTGATTCCTGGTTCTTCCCGAGTCACAAAAAAATAAAAAATAAAATCTAGCCCCTACCATTTAAAAAAAAAACGGTGTTCGCCATACCGGACATTATCGAATCTGAGGAAACAAAGTGATAAAACTGCTTGTCCGCCCTAACGGACTTTAGCAAATACGTGGCAGGACCTGTATGGTGAAAAGGAAACGATGTAAGTAGTCAAATAAGCCGTGGTTTAATCTTAGTTTATAATTAATAACAAATGAATAAAGTTATTATTAGAAATACAAATAAAACAGATAAAATTAGAACGTGCAAGCATTTATCGTGCATTATTTAACATGAAAACTCAAAAAACAGTTTCTTGGATTTTTTCCCGTCACAAAACAAAGGCGTGTGTCGCATTTCAGGCAATAAACCGTAGTTTTTTTATTGCAGTACATACAACGACCTTCTTCCTTCACTGAAGGAAAGTGCGCAACTCCATCATAACGTGAACTGTCAGCTGGTCTTGGTTTACAAACGTGCTTGATCGTGCTTTCTTCCGTTTTCTGATATTTAGCACTTCTATTTGTGCTGATTAAACCACGGTATATTTCATACCGGAAATCTTTCAGCCGCATGTATTTACTGTCAGAGCCTTTATGTTTGCGATACAGGATCCACGCATTGTTCACGCAAATATCAATCATTTGTGCAAATATTGCCATGTACCAACGCTTACTCCTGAATGGAGTTCTGTACAAGGCAATCAGCATGTCAGATAAATCGACTCCGCCCATGTTTTTGTTATATTCCTTCACAATATTAGGATAATCAACATCGACTTTCCTCTTCGCAAACTTACAATATCTCTTGATCCTATGGACTGGTTCAGCATCAGTATAGGAACTGATAAGAGTAGCCGCTTTGTTGTCGTGCCACCTCACAACCGACAACTTGTTTTTGTTGCATACGGTTTGACTAAAGGCTCCTCTATGTTTCTTTTTTAGTGCCTTTTCGCTCACCAATTTGTTTTCGGCTCCTCTAAGGCGGTTGCTTCTAATAGTGCCCAAAGAAAAGGTACCATAATTTTCACGCAACAGATAAACAAGTTCAGGCGACGTAAAGAAATTATCAAAACAAACCGTTGCTGGTTTGTCCCGGATAGTCTGGCAAAGTGCCAGTACAACTTGGGCACCAAATCCTATCGTTTGCTCTTCATCAGTGAATTTGTGATACCTGAATGTATCATCGCCCCCGTATGGCAGAAAATCGTAGATCATGCCTGAAGTTCCAGCTCGAACGTACATTTTGAAGCCCCATTTGGTTGGCTTGTCTTTCATATATTGGCGTCTTTTGCCTGCTTTCCGTCCTTTGTACGGCACCATCATTTCATCTACGCTGAAAGTGCGTTCGCCTGTTACGCTTTCCTGGGCCATACAGTTTTGTCGTATTCCCTCAAGTAATGGGCGAACCTTGTAATACCGGTCAGAGTTATCAAAGTTATTGTCTGCAAAATGTAAAGTTTGGCGGATTGTTTCATACTTCTTCAGAGGCATGATACTTGCAATTTTATCGTACCTGTATTTTTTGCTCCAGTAGTCTAAATATGACGGTAACGATACTATGCCCATCAGAATATGAATTGCAAGGAAATCGCGGAATTCGTCTTCAGTCAAATTTATGGAGCGGCCAGTATTTTGCACAGAATATGCGTTCGTTTCTTGCACAACATTTGCCATGACATTTTCGGAGAAAAACATTGAAAAATAACTAAAAGGTGAACAGATTTCGGGAGGGTTTTCAGTTTCTACGGAATCTTCTATTTGAGCTCTGTACAAAAAATTACACTGTTTCCATTTGTAAGTGAGGGAAAACTTTTGAATTCGCTTCGGTCTCTTTTTTGTTACTACAGATGGTCCTCTGAGTCTTCTTTTTCTGTTTACAGGTGTGGGCAACAAGGGAAAAGAGGATATGGACGGTAAGTTCGAGTAATTGGGTTCCTGCGACTGATTTGGGAAAACTTTTTGTAAAATCGGAGTCAAAGGAGTCTGCTCAAGGTCGTCGTCGGTTTGAATAATTGTTTCAGGAGGATCTTCATCGGGACTATCTAAGATGTTTAAGCGCTCTAGCGAAGATGCAATAGATGGTGCAGGTGAACTGAAGTTAGAAGGATCAGAGTGTGATTCAAGCTCATTTTCAACGTCGGAACTATCACCTGTTTCAGATGGTGCACGTTCTTTAGGAATAAGTGCCAATATCTTTTTCGTGCGTTCATGGAGGCAAGACTAAAACAAAGAAAAACTAAGCAAACCACACCACCACAAAAAGGTAAGTACCTACACAACACAGGCAAGTACGTGCAGATAAATAATGTCAGTCAGAGTCACTCACGGTGTAACACTTTCGAATCACAATGTTAGCAGTGTAAGTTTGACATTCGTTGCACAGTGAGTGTCCATGACTTTACGTAAGTATTTATGTAGTTTAAGTAGTTAGTAGGTAGTTTGTTGCATGTAAGTGTGAAAGTACGTAGATAAGTAAGGATTTTTCAGGCATTGCACATGTGTAAGTCAAAATTTAATTTTCGGCAATGTCCGCCACCACGCACAACTCAAAACTAACGGTTTTACTACATATTTCGACGATGTCCGGTGTGACGGACAAGGTAAATAACACAATAATTACTGATATATCGACGAGGTCCGGTGTGGCGGACAAGAAAAAAAGTCGTTATTTACAGTGAATGACTCGAGCAAAATCGATGGAGTTTGTGTTATCTGAATGCTAGTAATGTAATTCATAAAAAACAGACAGAAAAACTAGTCAACATAAACAAAAATAATAGATTTCGAGTAAATTACCTGGAATGTTTTCATTTTGCGCGGTTTCACCGACATTTTTTTGGCAACTGTCAGACTCGGGGTTGCCATACCCATAATTCATTTTCTTACAATGGCGTACAAAATCTAGCAACAGTTTGGTACAATTCTGGTGTTTAAAATAAAAACAGACACGAAGGTAGTTTTTTTTTAAGTTTTTGTCCGACAGCACGGACAAATTCGAAATAAGGGTTAAGTTCAATATTTTCATGTAATTCCTAAAAACAACAACTGCTCATTGATACTGTTCTAATAAGCTCAAACATGGTATATATTCTGTAATTTTACTGTTTTTTTTTCTAGGAAGTGAGCTGATGCTTTTCAAGATTTATAGCTAAGAAGAATCTCGATCACATCGGCAATATTTACGAGGGCAGGTCAATAAGTCCGTGACTTTTTGAATTTCTGACCTCTACTGAACAAGCAACACTACTCCTGTCAACAGGCATCTGTCAGTTGACTCCTGTCAAAATTTGGACTTGCTGCGTCAGTTAGTTTGTGTTTCACAGCTATCTTTATCAGACCCAGTAATTTGAGGAAAAAATGGAAAAAAGTGAATTTCGTGTGCTTATTAAGCATTATTTTTTTTGCGAAAAAAAACCATTACCGAGACCAAGGCTAAGCTTGATAAATACTATGGGGACTCTGCACCATCGATATCAATGGTAAAAAAGTGGTTTACTGAATTTCGTTGTGGCCGTACAAGCACTGAAGATGCCGAACGTCCTGGGCGCCCAGTTGAGGTCTCTTCACCCGAAACAATCGAAAAAATTCACGATATGGTGTTGGCCGACCGAAGATTGAAAGTGCAAGAGATTGTGGAAGCCGTAGGGATCTCGCATGGCTCAGTGGTTTCAATTTTGAATGATCACTTAGGCATGAGAAAGCTTTCCGCAAGATGAGTGCCGCGATTGCTCAACTTCATAGGAAGGTTTGGCGTTGTTTAATCGCAATATGGAGGAGTTTTTGCGCCGTTTTGTAACCGTGGACGAAACATGGATCCATCACAACACACCAGAGACCAAACAACAGTCAAAACAGTGGGTTTCTAAGGTCAATCGGCGCCAAAGAAGGCCAAGGTGGGTTTGTTAGCCAATAAAGTTATGGCGACTGTCTTTTGGGATGCATGCGGGATAATCCACATTGACTACCTTCAAAAGGGAAGAACAATCAATGGGGAATATTATGCCAACTTATTGGACCGATTCAATGACGATTTGAAAAAAAACCGACCTCATTTGGCCAAGAAAAAAGTTATTTTCCACCAACACAATGCAAGGTGCACACATGTGCAGTTGCCATGGCAAAAATCCATGAATTGGGCTATGAATTGCTCCCTCATCCGCCCTATTCTCCAGATTTTGCTCCGAGAGACTACTTATTGTTCCCAAACCTGAAGAAATGGCTTGGTGGAAAAAGATTTGACTCCAATGATGAAGTCATCTCGCAAACAAAGGCCTATTTTGAGGACCTCGACAAATCATATTTTTTGGGAAGGGATAAAAAAATTGGAGAAGCGTTGGACAAAGTGTATAGAGCTCAAGGGAGACTACGTTGAAAAATAAAATGATTAATTTATCAAAAAATCTGTGTTTTATTCCAAAAGTCACGGACTTATTGACCCGCCCTCGTATTTCTTTATTTTATTTTATTAAGGACAACCAACAAGGCTTACACTAATTTACATGTTAAGGTTACCATATTTTTACATTTTATAGTGTAGTCTTAATTAAAGGCTGCCACGGCATGCATTAAACATAAAAGTAGGAAATGCAGTTACAAAACTGACTAAGCTTATCCAGTAACATCAATACATAAATGCGGTACATGTTATAAAAGAATCATAAACAAATAACATGAATCAATTTTTGTATACAAATATATACAAAAACTTATTGATGCAATGGTTCGCGTTGTGGTTTTACTCGGAATAGTAACAGCATAATGTATTAACATATCCGCAACCAATAACAAAAGAAAACAAAAATTAAATATAAATATCTAGTAGTTACGTGATTACATTTGTCAGCATTAAGTAACATGTTATTGACCAAACACCACCGCGAAAAACGATCCAGGTCCTAATGGAGTCTATAGGGATCCTGATTGCACTCTATCCGTTTTATGATTTTTAGATCATCCGTGTATAAATATACCTTTGAGTGTACAAAACAAGACGCTACGTCGTTTATGAATATATTTAAAAACAACGGGCCTAGATGGGAGCCTTGAGGTACGCCTGAGGGTTTCGGAAATAGGTTTGATGAATACCCGCTGACCACAACTTTAGATGTGCGTTTAATCAGGTAAGATTCACACCACTGCAATAAGTTTCCTGCAATTTCGATTGTTTGTATTTTGTTAACAAAAATTTTGTGATCCACCCTGTCAAACGCCCTGCTGAAATCAGTGTAGATTACGTCTACAGGTGATCCACGACAGCGTCGACTAAATCTGATACAAAGCACGCAAGATTGGTGCCAGCGGAACGGCCTTTTATCAAGTCATGTTGATCAGGCATCAGTCAGTAGGCTTTCGAAAAAAAAAACGCATGGAAATTGGTCCATCCATTTGGGATCTATGATGCTACAGACAGATACACCCCTCGTTTTCCGACGTTGGTTAAAAAGGCCTCAAAAGCACTTGAATTCAAATTCAAATTCTAATCAGAACAACAACTTGCTTCGAATCCATAACGCTGAATAAATTTCTATATTGTTCATACGTATGCAGCCACTAAGAATGTGCATCTCAAGTTTGGAATCCCCAATATTATATAGTCACGAATTGAGAGTTTCCAGGTGAAAATTCACCGATTTCTGAGTTTCAATGTTCAGATGATTACGGTCATAGTTGCAAAAGGTGCCATTTTCTACCACTTGAGCAAAGACGTTATATCAATGACATCTGTTATTTGACAAACGTTGCCCAAGGCTCCATCGATTGCCCCGAACTTATTGCTAAGGTGAAAATAAGTGTAAATAGAATTGGTCTTCGACAACGACTCCTATATTAAATGTACCTTTTGCAACAACGAACTATAGCCGGATCTCGATATAGCCTTGTTTTGCACCAATATGAACACGGTTAGAAGGGTATAAGCTTAATCGTTTTTTTAAATCTTAAACCGGCATTCAAACTGTACTCTACTATGTTTCTTTTATCCTTTTGTTTTTAACATATTTATGTTTGGGCATTTCGTTGTGTATGAGTATTTAGGTACGTGTGAGCATTTGTGTGTAAATGTACTCATATGTGTGTGCGTAAGGGTATGTGCAGATACATGTATGTATATCTATGTGTATATTATTTATGTGTTATGGATATCTCTACTTAGGCTTACACTTCTCTTCTATTTAAATCGACAGTTCTCCTTAAGTAAATACCATATAGGTACTTGTAATTAGCAATAACAAATTATTTTAATGTGATTAAAGAACATTGTTATATGTCTGTTAGTCTGTCTAAGAGTAATAAAATAAATAAAACACCAACCAGTTAAAAGTCCATTGTAAAAATATAACGGGTTAGTACGATCATTATCCTCAATAGGGCCCATAGTTCCTCACTTACTAACTGCGGGCGTCGATGGGCAATGTTGGCGCAACGAAACAATTTAGTTCACTTGCTTAAATTATAATGTCCAATGATTTCACAATGTAGATTATTACAAACAGACACACGACTATACCTAAACGTATATCGCCAGGAACGCGTGACGGTTTCAATATACGACTCGCTCTGTCCGACTGCCAAACAACAAGTGTTCATGTGCGCCGTTCGGCCTTAAAACATTGACTCCGTCAAGCGCCGACAGGTGGCGCTGGTGTTTCGGATATGACGTAATTGCGACAAATATAATTATACACAACATGCATTTTACACAAACACTAACATAGATGACAGAAAATAATCTGTTTCTTCAATTAAGTCCTGTATAGAAGAGTTGCATAGAGAAGTTGAATTTATAACAAAGTTCTTGGAACACTTTGCGTTTGACACACATGGCCCTTTGCATTTGACTTATTTTTTGTAAGGTCTTGCTACTTAGTAAACCCTTACACACTTGCCAATTACAGCCTCATCAACATTCGCCAAATGGTTACACATATAGATCATAATCATTATCATCAATAAGAAGCTAACTAGTAACACAACTACGTTTTAACTAATAGGCAGGAAACGGTAATAAGTGGCAAAAAAAAAAATGCTTTTTTTTCCGCAATAAGGCGTTTCCCCACATGAAGGTAATTCCACCACAAATTTATGGAACTCTTTTGTTATCCAATTGAAGCTTTAGGATCTTGGAATGAGTTTATATAGTCTAACTAGAACTAATACTACAACAGTAGTTTGCTAATCTGTAAAGAAACACAAGATCGTATATCCGTAGACGTTCACGTAGTAAAGTGTCGCATGCATGTAGTAACATTTGATAGTTGAATCGTATGGATTTCGAATACTTACAATCCCTTGAGAGTGGATTCGTAGTGTGGGATTCACATTACACTGGAAAGCTCAAGGTTGCTACGAACCAATGCGTTGTACACTGTAATTTTAGTTTTTACTTGCTAGAATCCTTTAGTGTTTCTTTTAAGAAAGCCTAGCATTTGTGCCGATTTGTTAAAATACAGTCGATATTACTCTTGGAGTTCATTTTACTGTCCATAGTAACCCCAAGATCCCGCACCTTGGTGACTGTTTTAGCGGGACACTTGTATATTGTATGAGACTGCCTGAGATTTTTTTATTGACTTCGAGGGATGCATAATAATTTTTTGCTAACTTTTCTGGATTTCGTCATTACATTTTGATTTTTTAACATTTTTGTACGTGGGAGAGCCATGCTTTGGGAAAGCTCCGGCTCGACCGGTGCGATACAATTTCCCTTTTTTTTTTTTTCCGTGCGGAAATCCCCTCGGATACCACCTGTCGGTGGCATGTCGGACTCGAACCGACTAAAACCGCACGCCGTCTCGGGTACTAATAGCCGGGGAACCAGGTATACCCTAGAAAGG